CCGGCGGGGCGGCCGGGGGGCCCCCCCCGGCTCCCGCCGCTACCGGCTGGCCACCATCGCCAACTTCTCGGCGCTCGGGCTGGAGCCGGGCGACGTGGACCTGGAGAAGCTGGAGCAGGAGGACTGCCTGGACGGCTGGGAGTTCAACCAGGACGTCTACCTGAGCACGGTCGTGACCGAGGTGGGTGCCAGTCTCTGGCAGAACGGGGACATGGGCGCGAAGGGGACCGTCGCAGTCCTTGAACCCACAGCCCCCCTCCCAGATGACCGCTGGATGCTGTCGCAGCCCCTCTAACACACAATTCTGGCGATGGCCATCCTTCAAATACACTTGGCGACGTGACTTCCAGCCGCGCCCGTCTCAGGTTGAACGCCCACCTTTATGGCCACATTGAAGAGGGAGTCAAAAAGGCCCTGACGGTCCCTGGAGATGCTCTCAGGCCCTGAGTAATCCAAGACTTCTGGGTGGGAGGCTGGGAGATGGTGAGGTACAGAGCCAGGGTTGGGCCAAGAGGCTTCCACTTCCAGTCTCTTGGCATCAGTTCAGAGACAGAAGAAATGCTTCTCTTTACTGAAATTGTAAAATGAAAAGAAACAGGTATACAAAGCTGTCTCTTCCCTCCTTTCCCTCGTTACCTACTTCTTCCCCTACCCATCTTTACTCCAAAATGACAGAGCTGCCCTGTGAGGAATTGTTTCCTTTTTGCCCTGGGTCAGCGATCAGTCTTTTTAGGATGCACAGATCTGACTTGTTGACCTGGAATGCTTTCTAGGATATTCTGAAACAGTTACAAACCAGATTTCGGAAAAGCACACAGTTGGCCCTCATATCCAGAGTCCACCTCTATGGATTCAATCAAAAGAGAAAAGAGCACTAAAAATAGCAATAAAGAAAAAATAGTGTAATGACTACTTATATAGCATTTACATTGTATTTAGTAATTAGAAATAGCCTGCACATTATTTAAAGTCTGCAAGGGGATATGTATAAGTTATATGCAAATACTGTATACGGGCCTTGAGCACCCTCGAGCTTTGCTATCCTAGAGCCAGTCCCCTGTAGAGACATGAGGTCTTCAGAAAATTCATGGAAAGTTCGGACTGTGGGAAAACTATCCGTGAATTTCAAATGTTTTGCACCAAATAAGCTCATACTTTAATTCCATTTTTCCACAAACTTTTTGAAGCCCCCCCCCCCCATACAGAAGGACACTAGTAGATGCTTAGTTCATAGGAAGCAGAGGAAATCTTTCTCATTGCCCAGCCCCTTGGTTTTCCTTGGCCTGGTCTGCGGCTAGTGAACCTGAGTGGATGATACGATGCTAATGGTGCATGGGGATGGGCTTTGCTGCTTCCTCAGACACTGGCACTAACTCCCCAGAGGCTCAGCAGAAAGGAGGAGCAGGGCAGTGAACAGAGCCCTCCTGATTGGTGCTGGGCCACCAGGTTCACGGAGTTGCAGGATTAGGGATTTGCAGGTTAGGAATGGCTTCCCAGAGGAGGAGGCCTCTCAGTGAGTACGGGGTGTTCAACCGAGCAGAGGAACTGAGCTAAGTCCCAGATGCAACAGCAAGAAACTGCGCAGCAGGAGGGCAAAGTTCACCCAGAGGGACTGAAGGGGAGGTGCTACCAGTCCTGGTATGACCTCAAACCCTGTGGGAGACAGGTACCAGTGCTCCCTCCTGGACCCTCGAAGGGATTTACAGGCGGTCTGGAGATCCTAGTTATGTTGCTTTGGAGGCCATAACCCTTCGCAGGCATCTGAGAGCTGCTCTGGGAGACTCGAGTGTGTGCGTCAGCTCACGCATGTTTTCCCTGTGTCATTGGAAGTTCGATGACCCCAGTTCCTATACCTGCTTATTCCACATACGTGTAGTAGGAGTGTGACCTGAGCCCCACTAGGGTTTCCCAGCTAGTGGCAGCCTCTCAGTGTCCTAAGGCGTCATCCCCGACAAGAAAGGCACTGAGTGGAGGTGTGCTTTGTGGCCCTGAGTCTGTGGAGAATCAGAACCTCCAGCTGTCAGAAATCCTGGGTCCTAGCCTCATAAGGGAGTGAGAATGTGAAAGCAGAGGTTGTCCCTAGGGCTACTGGCAAAGGCCGTAGAGCGGAAGCAAGAGACCACAATACAGAAGTCACTACAAATTTTGCTAATGGCTCCCCAAGGAAGAGGGGAGCAGCAAAATAAGAAGCTCATGGCATCTCTTGGGGTGTTGACCTAACTCCTAAGGATCCCTGGCTTACTGCAGTCATTTGCTCCTGCTTTGCTGCCCACACCCTGCCTTTGGCTGAGGGTGGTGGTGACCCTGATGACCTCCCAAAGCCAGCTTTGCCAGAAAGTCCCCGACCCTGCTTCTCCTACATTGCTACCAATTTCTTCGTTTTTTTGTGTGTGTGTTGGGTTTTTTTTGAAGACAGGTCCTTACTCTATCTCGATCCTTCTGCCTCAACCTCCTGGGTAGCTGGGACTGCCAGTACACAGTGCCACACCTGGCTTGTAGGTCGGAACAAGAATAGAACCTGGGCCTCCCTTGTGGCTTCAGCCTGCTGTGTTGCAGTGTTAACCAGTAAATGCTACCATAAGTGGACCCAGTGTCATTTTTTGTTTGTTTTTCATATTTAGACTAGGCAGCTAGGTTAAAAGTTTCACAAGAACTGCCTGTCCTTTCACCTACTTAAAGGATTTCAGTCTTTACAGATGCTGGAATGCTTGACGTAAAGTTCAAAGCTGCTTGTCCCTCTCAGTCTCAGGTGAACAATCACTGTTGGAAGCTGCTGGATTAGCATTCTGATGGCTTTTGCTAAGGCCCATTTTCTTCCAACCCAGACCTGGCCCGCTGCAGGCAGTATGGGGCCTGCTAAATGTCTCTCAGCCTCCCTCTAACCCACACCCCATAAATACACTGGGATTGCATTTCTGTTTGTATTTTCAACCAAAGGTTTCAACCTCACATCTCCCATTTCATTGTTTTTCCTCACTCAAGGTAAAGTATATGCACCGTAGTACTAGGCTTTGTGCTCTTCATAGATTTAAACCTTTGCATCTCCCTCCAGTTCTGACACAGTGCTAGATGCAGAGGAAGGTGCTTAACAATTTCTTATTGAGTGGATTAATGGATAATTTAAGAAATCTCCTTTGAAGTTTGAGAACTAAAGAAAAACAGAAGGGGAACTTGGGCGCGGCTGAAAAAGATTGACTGGAATATTTGAAAAGAAATGTGATTCCCTACCTCTGTGGGCTGAGGTTTGGCACTGTGGATCTGGGTGAGTCATTGGGATTATGGAGTGAAAGAGGTTTGTGTTTCTATGTTTTAGGAATAGTTTGGTGGTGGGACCAGCAGCTAGCATAATGGCTATGTCACCGGACTCCCACGTAGTCTATCTCGGTTCGCATCCCGGACCCGGTGGCTTAAAACTCACGCCGGGCGCATGTGCATGCGTGCCCAAGATCCTGAGAGGAGAATGGAGGAGAAGGGATTGCGGTGTGGCCATCCCCCATGGGGGGTGATTTCTCGCTTTCTGTCTCTCTGTCTCTGTCTGGTGAGTGCACGTGCCCTATAGCAAAAACCTAAAAAAAATAAATAAATAAAGGAATAGTTTGGTGGTCTACTTGCTTCTAGGCTGGCTCCTCCACTGGCTCCTCAGCATCCCTGGGACACTCGGTCACCTCATCTTGCAGTTCTGTGCCCTAGACAGCCCCCTCCTCCTCTGGGACCCTGAGTGATTTCTCAAGTTGCCTGGGGCACCTGATTTTTGTTTTCAAGATAGCTCAGCCCAGTCTGCAGGCAGAGGGGTTTCTTTAGAAACATCTATGCCCAGGGGCCAGCAGGTGGTATAGTGGTTAAGGTGCTAGACTTCCACATGACTGACCGTAGTTTGAGTCCCAGACCTGGCAGCTTGAAACTCACACTAGGCATATGTGCATGTATGCCCAAAATCCTGAGAGAAAAATGGAGAAGGGACTGCATTGTGGCCATCCCCACTGTGGGATAATTTCTCACTTTCTCTCTCTCTGTCTCTCCAGCAAGCGCACATGCTCTATAGCAAAAATCTGCCTCTCAGAAAAAAAGAAAAAGGAAAAGAAAAAGAAACATCTGAGCCCTTTGGCACCCATGAGCTGGAGCTCCTTCAGCTGAGACCTGGCAGTCCTCTGGATCAACTTTTTCCCTGCCCCTCTCTGCTTCCCAGCAGCCCCCCAGCTCGGTCTTTGGCAGGAGTCCAGTTCACTGCCTGTTGTCCATGGACTAGTTTTTCTCTCAGCCTTGTCTCATGTATAGTAGTCTTGGAAGACAGGAGAGCCTCCACTGCTATAAGCCTGCCTGGAGAAAAGTCCTAACAGTATGGCAGGTGAGCCAGGGCTGACTGTGGGCTGCAGAGGCCAGGCAGACCTGGGGCCGGCACCTCACTGCTATGCCATTACTACCTCTCTCGCTCGGGGGAAGCGCTGACCCTCTTCCTAGCTTTGCAGCTGCCTGGCCAGCCCTGTGTACACACAGTGGTGGTAGACATTTCTGGCCTTGAGATTGAGCCCCTCTCTCGCTAGCTGAGAACCGTCACCTTAGGCCAAAGTTTTGACGGAGGACACGAGGCAGGGGCTTAGGGAGTGGGAAAAAACTTATTCTGGAGGCTGAAGTCCAGGGTTCATCTGGACCTTGGGCAGCCAAGCAAGGACCAAGCCCAAAGGCTACTACAATGTTGAAAGTTGACAGTCCTTTTATTTATCCTTTCATGTGCTCAGCTATGCACCAAACAGTTCCCGAGCCTCTCCTCCGTGCCAGCGTGAGAGAGGGAATGCTCTCGGAGATAGGCTTGATGGCCTTAGGACAAACGTTCGCATTATCTGCTACAGGAGACTGGGTGAGGTGTGTATTGGAATACTTGCCATTCGGTGACCCGGGGCTTCCCATGTGTCTGACCGTTGATGCGGTCAGGCCAGGGACATCTGGGGGAGGAATCTGCCTTATGGGCACGGACCCTCTCTTTTTCCTTCCAGCCAAATCACAGGTAAGAACATGTAGTCCCAAGGAACTATGTCCCCTCTCTATTTCCCATCATTGAAAAGCAGTATCAATTAAGTATGAGGAACAAAAGATACGATTTTTCCTCCTTTTAACATTTTATAGCTTTATTGAGGTACAAAAGACATTTAAAAATATCTACATATCTAGAGTGTGCACTTGAAAAGCTCTGACATGTATCTGTATACCTGGGAAACCATCACCCCTGGAAAGGAACATTGCTTTTTGTTTTTGGAGAGGTTTTCGCTATAGGGCACATGCGCTCACCAGACAGACAGAGAGAGACAGAGAGACAGAAAGCGAGAAATCACCCCCCAGGTGGGATGGTCACGCCGCAGTCCCTTCTCCATTCTCCTCTCGGGATCTTGGACACGCACGCACACACGCCCGGCGTGAGTTTTAAGCCACCGGGTCCGGACGTGAACCATGGTCGACTACGTGGGAGTCCAGCGACATAGCCATTACGCTAACTGCTGGTCCCCAGGCACATTTCTGATGAGGAGGAACAGCAAGTCGAGGCCCCTTACCAGAGTTCCTTCCAGATTTATTTCAGGTTAAGGCCTGCTTTTATGGCTCACCCAGCTGAGGTGTGACAATGACAGGCTCATAACCTGCATCTTAAGTGCACATATTCAGGATTTTTTCTTAGAGTTTTGCTATAGGGCAGGTGCACTTGCCAGAGGGACAGAGACAGGGACAGAGAGACAGAAAGCGAGAAATCACCCCCTGGGATTGATTTCTCCCAATCCCTTCTCCTCTCGGAATTTTGGGCACGCACACACATGCACCTGGCCTGAGTTTCAAGCCTCCAGATCTGGGATTTGAACCATAGTTGGCCAAGTGGGAGTCCAGCGACGTAACCATTATGCCTTCTGCTGGTCAGCACATGTTTAGTTTTAACATTGAAACCCGTCGTCATCGGCCAGTAGGGCTCACCTCATGTGCCAGGTGGAACAGCAATAAGCTGCTCTGCAGTTGTGTTAGTCATAGCCGGCCACCAGGAGCTAGTATAGAAATGCCACATCTCTTTATAAACACGTTAAGCAAGGGGTAATTAGCCTGGACCCCATGGACTTCTCATCTCAACCATCCTAAGGCAGATTTAGGTCAAATCCTGGAGCCCATTACAGTCTCTCTGGTGGCTGATAAATAAGTGGGTAGATTGGCTGGGTGGGACCCATTCTGTGCCTGCCTTTGTGTTCTATTTTCAGACCTGTCACCTTCTTTGACCCTACCAGACCCCTCATGGCCTGTCGGTAAGAGTGTTAATCCATGTTTGCTTTTGGAGGGCTCAAAGCCAGGCTCTGAGGCTCTGAGAGTTGTCAAGGACTGTCTGTGGTAGGCAGAGGGCACAGTGACTTGAAGGAGTTACACACTTGCCTAAGCTAAGGTGGGATTTGAAGAAGCCGAGAGCTGCTCTGGAACCTCCCACTACAGTCACAGTCACCTGGTCCCCTGCAGAACATAATCTGACTCAGTTTCAGGTAACACCCAGCCTTGCCAGCCCAAGATTCTCTTAGAAACCTGATATTGGGGGCCAGCAGATGGCATAATGGTTACATTGCTGGACTCCCATGTAACCAACAACAGTTGAGTCCCAGACCTGGCAACCTAAAACGTAATGCTGGGCACATGTGTGTGCATCCCTAAGATCCCGAGAAGAGAATGGAGGAGAATGGAAGAGAAGGGATTGCAGCATGGCCATCCTTCCTGGGAGGTGATTTTTCACTTTCTGTCTCTCTTTCTCCAGCGGGTACATGTGCCCTATAGCTATAGCAAAAAATCTCTCTTAAACAAGAAAGAAGGAAGGGAGGGAGGGAGGGAAGAAAAGAAAGACAGAGAGAGAGAGAAAAAGAGAGAGAGTGAGAGGGAGGGAGGGAGGGAGGAAGGAAGGAAGGAAGGAAGGAAGGAAGGAAGGAAGGAAGGAAGGAAGGAATGAATCTGATATTGGGAGACCTGACCTGGGTCTGAAACCCTAGAACTCACTGCAGAAGCCCATGTGGATTTCTAGTCTAGTTTGGGTATTCAATCTCCAATCTTCAAGAGGACCTGTTGAGAAACAGCAGTTAACCCTTTGTTCACCTTTTCATCTTTGTTGTTAAAAAAGTGACACAACTAGCTGGGAACTAGATCTCATCCTTCCCGAGGTGGCGGTAGCCATACTGTGAGCCCGGAAGCTCGTCCTGGCACCAGTGTGGATGCCGTCAGCTTTGCTGTCCCACCAGCTGGTGCTCTAATATTCTCCACTCCTGCCACTTTGGGCCTCTCCTAGATTTGGGGGTTGGATAGCCCCCTCTTCTGCTCTGGGCTGGGAATCTCCACCCCATTCTCAGCCCACCCAGGTGCATGCTTATTCCAAAGTGGTGTTCCAGCAGCACGCCTCAGTGAGCCTTCTCAGCTGCACAGGATTCTTGGTATCCAGTCCAAGGGCTGCCCTCTTACCCTCTGCGAAGTGCCCAGAGGCATGTGCACAGTGCCCAGCAGTGCAGAGAAGCAGGCTTGTTTTTCCCTCTTACTCTGGCCTGGAAGAGATGCTTTGTTCAAGGAGCTGCATTCTCCCCCTGCCTCTGTTTGTTACCGGGGAGCCAGCAGGCCCCACAGAGGGCAGGCTGGCAGCCAGGCACCAAGCAAGCAAGGGTCTGAATTCCCAGGAGGCAGCTCTTTGTGAGCACTCTGCAAAAGTTACCACTGAGCGCCATCTCTCTGTTCTGAGGAACATTTTGCTGGGAAACCACCAAGTTTCCTGTTGGGGCTTTTTCCCTCTGGCTCCTCATTAGGCTGGGGCAGCCTAGTCTGCATAGCTGTTCTCCCTTCCCACAGACCTCCTTTCCGGGTCATGGTAGCTGTGTAAACGGAACCACACATTGGGTGCTGGAAGCTCAAGCAGTACAGCCCATTTCATACTCCAATCCCCTTTTTTTTTTGGAGAGGTTTTTGCTATAGGGTGCATGTACTCGCCAGACAGAGAGAGACAGAGAGACAGAAAGCGAGAAATCACCCCCCAGGGGGAATGGCCACGCCACAATCCCTTCTCCTCCATTCTCCTCTCGGGATCTTGGGCACGCACGCACATGCGCCCGGCATGAGTTTTAAACCACCAGGTTCGGGACTCGAACCGCGGTCGACTACGTGGGAGTCCAGCAACATAGCCATTACGCTAACTGCTGGTCCCCTCCAATCCCTTTTTAACAGAGGCGGAAATTAAGAGAGAATATGGTGGAGGAGGCTCATCTGAGGTTGGACAACCAGTAAACAGTAAAGTGGAACGTAAAATCCTGTTTCTTGGCTTCTAGTTCAGAGCGTTCAGCCATAACTGGGCCTTGTAATATTGTCATACAGCACCAGGGATTCCACCCGCAGATGTCACAGGAAGGATCCAGTGTAACGCCCCAGGGTGGGAGTCTGAGCAGAGCTGAAAGAACACGTCCAGATGACACACACTGGACCCTTTGACCTAATTCCTTGCTGGAACCCTTCACCCCTCATTCCTTGCTGGATGCCTTGACCCCTGGAGCCTCTGAATCTTGCTTTAGAACTACACTCAGGGCCCTTCATGCCAGTGGCCTGAACCCTGCTGGCAAGGCTCCCCTTCCTCTTCCACAGCCCTAGATTCTGCTCAGAATCTTAGGAGTGAGGCCTTGCCTTCTCTTCCTCTGGCATTCTCTCTGCACAGTGAGGAGAAATCTCACTGGCCAGTAGTGGTACAGTGAACAGAACTCTTGTGTCTGATGCCCCTTAGCTGAGTGGCCTGTAGGTTTAGTGTTTGCTTTGTGGCAAGAAGAAAGAGTGCTGTTCTTACCTGTTAACTCAGGTTATAAGAGTAATTCCAAAGCTCTTAACTCTGGAAGTTAAAGGAGGAGGCACGTGGACAGAGGATATGCTCCCTTGCTTTCCCCTCAAACTAGAAGCAAGACAGTGGGGCTGCAAGCTCACTGCAGACTGCTCTCTGCCTTTCTGCCCAGGTAAGCCATCATTTGCCTAAATGAGTTCACATACCCAGAGCATGCAGGGATACAGGGTGTTCTAATCTCATTTTCCAAGAAACCTAATGTTTAAAACCTTTTTGGAAAGAAATAAGTGATTCATCCCTCTGTTCCTCTTGCAGTGGAACCTGGTGTGTGAGGACGACTGGAAGGCCCCCTTGATAATCTCCTTGTTTTTTGTGGGTGTGCTGTTGGGCTCCTTCATTTCTGGGCAGCTCTCAGACAGGTAAGGTGTCCGTCTCCTGCAGCTGCAGGGGACCCCAGCATGGAGCCAGGAGCACGTGTCTGGCCCCTGACTTCGGTTATAGTATTCTCTCAGCCTTGGACCTTGTATTTTAGAAAAGAGGGAACTGCATCTGTGGTATAGATCCCATACCAAGTGAAAAGAGCCCACAGTCCTTACTCTGTAATTCCAGCTGAGTAAAGAAACCTGAACTAGTGGGACCAGCAGTTAGTGTAATGGCTATGTCGCTGGACTCCCACGTAGTCTACCACAGTTCGAGTCCCGGACCCGGTGGCTTAAACTGACGCCGGGCACATGTGCGTGTGTGCCCATGATCCCAAGAGGAGAATGGAGGAGAAGGGATTGCGGTGTGGCCATCCCCTCTAGGGGGTGATTTCTTGCTTTCTGTCTCTCTGTCTCTCTCTCTCTGTCTGGCGAGCGCATGTGCCCTATAGCAAAAAACCTCTCCAAAAAAAAAAAAAAAAGAAAGAAAGAAAAAGAAACCTGAACTAGCCAAGCCGATGTATCCGCGATCCAGGGAGCAGGTAATATGCCTGGTGCACTCCCACGCTAGCCTGTCCTGCCTCCCTAGGTGAATGTGACCCTTGTGTCCGAAGGGTGAGAGAGGTTGACACCACGCCTACATGCAGATGCATCTACTCCATGGTAGGTCTTTAGGTCGTACCATGGTGGCCACTTCTGTCTTCCCAAGAAGACCAGTGTTCTCTCTGCAAAGTGAGAAGAAATCTCACTACTCAGTAATGGTGTGAGGAGAACTCCTGCGACCGCAAGACTGATACCCCTTAGTTAGGCAGTCTGCGGTTATGGCACTCACTTTACAACAAGGAGGAGGAATTCTATTTTGATCCATTTTTCAAAGGCAAGTTACTTGTGTAATTCCAGAGCTCTTAACTCAAGGTGCATTAATGCCTTAAGGAATCTAAACACCCTTGTGTTTAGATATGTAAGATGTTAGCAGTGATATGTCAGCTTTTTTTTTTTTGAGAAAGAGTCATGGCTTTCATGAAGCTCTCCAAGGGGGTCTATTATGTTGTGTCTTCACACCCCAGAGCTTCAGGATCTATCAGAGAAGCCTGAAGCAAAAAGAGTGACCTTCAGCAAGTCCTTGGCCATGCTGTCATATGTGAAGACGCCCACAGAACCAGTGGGTCACCCAGTAGAGAGGAATCCCAGCATCCACCGCTGGTTACGGCCTCTAATAGACAAGTTCAGGATGAGAACTTCATCCTACCTGAGGAACAGAGCCGTCTTATCTGGTAGCACAAACTCGGAGTGAGTTTTTAGCATGTTTACATCTACCGATTCTTGTCCTCTCCTGAGAAGTCTTTCCTCGTGAACAGTTTCAATATGTGCATTTCTCAGTAGTTTGGTCTTCTCCATAGTGTCACTAATAATTAAAGAAGAAAAATTCCTCCAGTCACCAGGGAGCATTAAAAAGTTCAGTAGACTATGACCACAGATTAATGATTCTAGCTGAGCCCGAGACCCTTGTACCTTTGAGGGAAAGGCCTTCACTTGCCCAGAGCGTTGATCTAGTATCAAACACCAATTGATTACTTACATTTACTGAGTAAACACACAGCACCTACTATGTGCCAGATACTGGCATAAGCACTATACAGATTTAAAACGAATAATAATAATTTATTCCTAATAACCCTATGGTGTAGGAGGTGGTATTATTGGCATTTTTCAGATAGGGAAAATGAAATACAGGAAGGTTCAATAACTTGCCCAAGGTTACACAGCTGGCACATGGTGGAGTTGATTTGAACCGGATAGTCTTAACTCTGCTATTTTTGTGTGGACTACCATAGTAAGTCCTGGAACTTACCTTCTATTCTAGTAGGCAGAATGTATTAGACAACTAACAAGGAGTAACTTGACCTTGGTCATGGTAAGACCAAGAGGCAAAGAAGTACAGGGTGCTAAGGGAGTGTCTAGCAGGGCAGGTCAGAGGAGGCTTCCCTGAGAAGCTGAAGTATGAACTGAGAGTTGAAAGAGGAGTAAAAGTTAGCCAGGAAAAGGGGCAGAGAGAGGAAAGAGCATTCTGGGCAGGGGAGCAGCATGCACTGAAGCCTAGACTCAAGAAGAGGCAGAAGAACAGGGAAGAGGTTCGTCACGGTAGAGGTGCAGGCAGTGGTGTAGAGCAGAGGCCACGAGCAGGGGCTCCAGCAGAAAATGGGGCTTAGCCGATTACGGTTAGGAGTTTGGGCTTTAGCCACAGAGCATGGGGAGCCATTGAGAGTTTTTAAGGGCAGGAATGTGACAATCACATTTGCTATTTTCAAAAGATGATTCAACAACCTGTGGAGAAGAGATTTAAGGGAAGCAAGAGACATAACAAAAGATGATACAGCTCATACAAAAGATGATGGCAGCTTGGCCTGGGATGAGGGTGGTGGAAATGGGGAGAAGTAGAAGGAGGTAAGTCAACGGGTCTTGCCCTGGTTGATGGTTTCTAGCCTGCATAACCGGGTGAATGAAGATGCCCTTTTCTTTTTTTTTTTGAGAAATTTTTGCTATAGGGCATGTGTGCTCACCAGAGAGACAGAGGGAGACAGCGATCAGAAAGCGAGAACTCACTCCCCCAGGGGCATGGCCTTCAGTGTTTGAAGTCCCCTCTTGTTTGTCCTTCTCCATTCTCCTCTCAGGATTTTGGGCACACATACACACGTACCTGGCATGAGTTTCAAGTCTCTGGGTCTGAGACTCAAACTGTGGTCAACCATGTGGGAGTCCAGCAATGTAACCATTATGCCATCCAGTGTTCCCAAAGACACCTTTTTCTAAGACAAGACATTGAGAGAGAACCATTTTTGTAGAAGGTGCTGAGTTCAATTTGAACATAATGAATTTGGAGGACTATGAAATCCCTGAGTAGAAAAACTGAGAATCTAAATGTCTGGATATGGTGCCCCATGAGAGTCTGGGGCTGGAGAGACACACATGGGGATTGTCAGGATATAGAAACCTTATCAAAGCTCCAAATATGGATGAGACAGCCTTGGGGGAGAAAGTACAGTAGGGAGGGGTGTGGGGCAGGACTGAGCTTGAGGCTCTCCAGGTGGAGGCGGGGGAGTTACCTTGATGTGAAAAACAAGGAGGTGGTTCCTCAGTTCAGAGTTAACAATGAGATTTTTTGGGTCATCTGTGCCATGAGCTAAGTAGATTTTTGTGGGCTGGTTTTAGAACCTGTTTGCTATCTCTCACCACGATTCAGTTCTTAAGGTCTGCTCCCATGGAATTAGTGGAAACAAAATTCATGAGTATGTTAAGGGTCCCTTTAATCTACAGAAGGGCCGATACAGTGTTTTTGGAATCTTTTTTGGAAATGCTGGCAGTAGAACTTCCTTTTAAGTAGTATCATTTAAGTCCAGTAAATGAAATAGTTAAAATGATGGTTCTTCTGACTGTAGCCCCCACTTCAGCTCCCAGTGCCAGCCCTCAAGTTTGTGTGCACCCCCAGAAGGCCCTGGGGGGTGGCCAGCTTCTGATCTCATTACTGCTAAGTAAGCCAGTTCTAAAACCCAAGCCAAATCAGTTCCCTAAGAGCAACAGATACATGCCCTCCACTTGTCTAGGCTGTCAGCAGTAACTTTTTATCTAGGACAGAGGTTTAGCGTTCTTCCTGGCGTATTAGTAAACGTGAAATTCAAGAGCAATGAAAACGATCTGGGTCATCAAAGCCTTGCGTCTGACATTGTTGAGCTATCTTTATGTGCATGCATTGTGTGTGAGAGGCATAACTCTGGGAAGAAGTATATTGATATTTGTGGTTTTGTAGTATGTGTGCGAGGATGTCTTCAGGATGTTCATGGAAAATGTGTATTTGCGACAACTGTGCATGGGTTTCAGGAGTTTTTTTTTTTTTTATTTTCTTATTTTTGGAGGGGTTTTGCACCAAAATAAATTCATACTTTGATTCCATTTTTCCATCAACGTTTTACGTCCTCTCTTTGTCATTTTGTTGACAGACTTTATAAGTGAATCTTTTTGGCCACAACCCCAGAGTGCAAGGACTTGCTGTATGTAAGGGTTCCATGAATCTTTCTCCTCCCCGTCATCCCAGGGATCCCTTGGGAAGAGAAAGGAGTAGGAGGAAGTCTCTCGAAGTTGGGGACCGTTTGCTGGCTGGCATGTATCGATAGATGACTGTTGTTATAGAACTACGTGGGGAAATTGGAGTCTTCTAGACCAGGGCTTCTCAACCTTAGCCCTAGTAACATACTGAGCCAAATAACTTTTTGTCGTGGAAGGTAATCCAGGACATTTTAAGAGTATTTATCAACAGCTCTGGCCTCTACCCACAAATCCCAGTGGCGCCTCCTGTCTGAGTTGGCGATAGTCACAAACACAACTTTCTATTGAGGACAAAACACCGAAGTCCCTCATGTATCAGGAGGTCCTTGTGCAGTTGGGTTCCTACTCACCTCCACAGTCTTGTGCCACGGCAGCGGACGCCAGCCACACCAGCCCCTCCTGTTCACCTTGCCCCCTCCAGCCACAACGTGTTGTGTGCCTCCTCAGAGTCTAAAGCATTCCCCATCGCACGCCCCAGGGATCTTCCTTGACCATGCAGGCCACCTCAGGAGCCCTGCTTTACAGTACCCTGGTTCCTTGTGACTTTCCTTCGTAGCACCTGTGAAGAATTAATAAATAAATGGGGGCTCAATCATGGGAGTTAATCTTGGTCTCCCCCAGTATACTGTGAATATCCTCACAAGCTTGAAATACTCCTTTTCTTTTGGCCTCACTTCAATGTCCTCTCGTCAGGGGGAGCGTCCCCAAATGCCCAATTCTCCACCTCTTGCCCGCAGTCCAGAGTAGGTCCCTCTGTTGTGTCTATTGTGGGTCTTGGTGCAGTCCTTCCGTGCACTAGTCTCAGTGTGCAAGTATATATTCAGCAGTGTGGGACTGTGATTAAAATGTGATTGCCTGTCTCCCCAGCTAGACTATGAGTTCCCTGAGGATGGAAATAGCACTTTTCTTTTTTTTTTAATTTAGCAGTATCCTTAGTGCCTAGTACAATGGATGCTCAGTGGACAACTCAGGCTGAATCTGCTGTTTCCCATTAGGTTGATTTATTCCTCCTGTTTGTGACAATCTTTCTAAAACAAAACAAACCAAGGAAACCCAACTTTTTTCATTTTTATTTTAAAATGAGCACAGATCCAGAGAACCACACAGAACACACGTCTGACCTCTCGAGTTATAATCTTGTAACCACCATGTCAACAATAGACTTTACCATCCACTAAGGAACTCCACCCACACGCCCACCCCAGTTACAATGCAATCACTAGCTCGACTCTTCTGCTAGTCACTTCCTTGGGAGCTGCTCATAGTTTTATTATCCAGATGTCTATCGTTAGACATAGGTTTATTCTTGCCCACTTAAAGATCTGAATATGTCTTTTAGTCTACTTTAATCCATGAATTCTCTTTCCATCCCTTTCTTTGCCTTGCAGTTTATTTATTGAAAAACTCTTGGCCTTTCGACTTCTCAAATTTCCTAGTCTGGATTTTGTTGATTGCACACTCGTGGTACAGTTCAACATATTCCTCTGTTCTCTGCATTTCATGCAGATTGGCAACTAGATCTAGACACTCAATCAGATTTAGGTTCAGCCCCTTTGTCAAAAAAAATATATATATATATATAAATGTCCGTCTTTATGATGTTAGCAGTCATGATATATGTCTCTCTGACTAACCTACTGATGGCTATACAATAGCAATCTTTTAATCTGATCACGTTTTCATTAAAAATAGGAATACTTTTACAAATGATACCTCCTTTCACCTATTATTGGTTGGTTTACAAAGGAAAGTCAGGACAAATGCTTCTTTTCTTTATTTGCCAGTTCTCAATAATGAATTAGTTCTCTGTCATCCTCCAAAGTTGTCATTCTTTTTCAAAAATATATCATTACGAACGTATGGACTGTGCATAATCGATGGTTCAAAACCTTGCGGTCATAACTGCGGTACTGTCTTTTACTCCCTGTTCCCAGGCTGCATCTGTCCTGGGGAGTGGGGAGGCAGAGTAGCAGCCTGGGGGCTAGAGGACTGGGGCTGTTCCTAGCAACTACCCCTCCCTGGATGGATGTGGGGAGTGCCTTCTTGGTGGAGCCCTTTTCTGCTGGTTCTCTGTCACTCTCCTTTCCTTCCCAGGTTTGGTCGGAAGAACGTGCTGTTTGTGACCATGGGCATGCAGACAGGCTTCAGCTTCTTGCAGATCTTCTCGACGAACTTCGAGATGTTTGCCGTGCTGTTTTTCCTTGTAGGCATGGGCCAGATCTCCAACTATGTGGCAGCATTTGTCCTGGGTATGGCCCTCAAGTTGGAGTTGGGTACTCAAGCCTTTGTCTCACTGTCGTCCCACTTCCGCCGTTCTGGAGGCTGCTGTGATGCGTGTCCCTCCAGGGGAGGTGCTCCGTAGCTATACCAGCAAGAGCTTCCTGGAGAACAGGTGATCAGCAGGGAAACTGAGCCAGACAAGCGACCAGCCTTAGTCCCCAGCGGCACAGTAGCCAGACTTGTGCTTTCCAGTTCCTCTCTTGCCTCGGAGGTGTGGTGCCTCGGTCTTGTTAGTACTCGATGGCCATCTCACTGGGAGTCACCAGAGATCATCTATGTAAAAGTAGGGGCTGCCGCTACACAGGGTCAGGTAGCAGGCAGAGGAAGGCGTGCTATGAGAAGTGCAGGCTGAGATTGGCAGGCTTGCAGGGGAAGAGAACCGCCTGTGCAGAGCATTGTGGCCAGTGATGTCGACAATGAGAACAAATCGATAGGAATGGGCTGTAGCCGCCTCCAGGGTTTGAATTCAGAGGACATTCAGAGGGCTTTGGCTCAAGCAAGCCAGCTTGTCTCCCTAAAAAGCTGCCAGTCTCACTGTTTGGAAGAATCTGTCTCTAGCTCATACGGTCTTTAGGTTCCTTGGGTTGTATTGGAATTAATTTTTCCATTCACATTTAATAGAATATATTTTCCCTGCAGGATAAGTCAACATATGCACCCTTAGGGATGATCTCATCTTTAATGACCTCTTCCTCATGTGAGGATGGAAGGGGGCCTAACAGAACATCTTCAGCATGTGGCTCAGGAAGGCGGGGAAAGTTTCCAGAGAACACTGTCACTGAGAGGGCCCAGGAGATGGACAAACAGTACTGGGTTCAGAATCCCATTCCCTCCCTAGGGCACTGCAGCCTAGGGGTCATTCTGGCTGCCTCTTTCTATGTGTCCACAATAACACCGTAGCAGATTAATAAGGAAATAACACAACTTAAAATGCTAACGTGACTCCTCCCTTGTTTGAACAGGAACAGAAATCCTTGGCAAGTCGATTCGTATTATATTCTCCACGTTAGGAGTGTGCATATTTTATGCAGTCGGCTACATGGTGCTGCCCCTGTTTGCTTACTTCATCAGAGACTGGCGGACGCTGCTGCTGGCACTGACGGTGCCAGGGGTGCTGTGTGTGGTGCTCTGGTGGTGAGTGTGGCCCCATGCTCCATGGCAGGGTGTCTTCTGTCTAGCCCTCACTAGAGGGCAGCAGCAAACTTCAAATCCAGTTTGGGCTCCAGAGACAGGAGAGGCCCATCATTTCGCTGTTACAGAATGTTTTCTCCATGTTCAGAAGGACCAAAGCCAAATAGAATCTTGAGACATCAGCCTGCTTGTTCCCAGCGCTCTGGTGGGTTGATCTAAATGCAGGAAGAGGAAGTGGTAGCTTTAAGAGGATGAGGTCTAGCATGACCTCCAGGAAGTTCTCAGATCCTCAGGTAGGACAGCTGGGGCCTTGTGCCACAGGCAGGGGAGAGGAGGGAGAGCACTAGAAGCAAGTGCCCACGGTGGCTGCATGGAGGAAGCCAGTTCATGTGCACCACCAAGATGGAGGAGTGCACAGGCGGGGAGCAAGCCACCCCATCCCGAGAGAACACAGCAGAGGAGCCGAGGCGGGCATCCCCCCCTTGCAGGTGAGGAAGGCGAGATTCCTGGGCACATGGTGGGGAGAGCATTCCGGGGCATAGTGAGAGAGGAAACACACATGTGGGGCCTGGACATGACCAAAGAGGGAGGTGCTCCTGGTCACAGTGAAACAGAAAATATGCACGAAGCCTCAAAGTATGCAACCACCTTCGTAATCATGCTGTCTTAGGTGGTTTGACAAGTCACCTGGATAAACAAGGGTGGAGTGAGAACAAGCTAGAGGCTGTGAGGCTGGTGCAGAAGCTGTGGATGCCAAGGCTGGAGAAGGGGAGTTAGCAGGGTCTGAGCTGGCTAGTGACAACAGGAGCCAGGCTTCGGGAGACTGTCTTGCATGCTTGTCTACCTAAATGCCAGCAGGTGGCGCCCTCATTCTTCAGAGGGGAGGTGGCAACCAGAGTAGGGATCCCAGCAGGGTGTAAACCCTCCAGATCTTGTGCCCTGCCATGTACTCAGGAGCTCACACCGCAGATCATTTCTGGGTGTAGACCATCTCTTTGCTTCTGGCTTGTGAACACTGGCAGACCTAGCTCTGGCTCTGAAACCTCATTTCCCCCTCTAGTTATGCCAGACCTGGTCTTTTCGGTCAGCTGTTGGGCAGGCAGGCCCAGTGAACTATCTCCTTGAACTTCCAGGTTCATCCCGGAGTCCCCCCGGTGGCTTATCTCTCAGGGAAGGTTTGAGGAAGCAGAGGTGATCATCCGCAAGGCTGCCAAAATCAATGGCATTGTTGCCCCCTCCACCATCTTTGACCCAAGTGAGGTAAGTAACACGTGGAAGCTGACGGGAAGGCCACAATGGCCGTGATTTGAGGGTAGCAGCGCACAGCCCTGAGGCCCTCCTGCTCACAGGAGCCCAGCCCTCGCCCTGGCTAAGCCCCAGCTGCCCTCAAGGAAGGCCTTATTAAAACTCAGAATTTAGATTAGGTTCCAACTGCTAATTCTTTTCACATTTCCCATGTATTTTGGGTTTTCATACTTTATTTACTTTCTAGGAAGTCATATATTTTAAACGTTACTCTTTTTTTTTTCTTTTTTTTTTGAGAGGTTTTTGCTATACGGCATGTATGCTCACCAGAAAGAGAGACAGAAAGGGAGAAATAAACCTCTGGGGGGATGGCCATGCTGCAATCCCTTCTTCTCCTTCCCTTTTCCTTCATTCTCCTCTCGGGATCTTGGGCACGTACACACACGTGCCCGGCGTGAGTCTAAGGCACCAGGTCCGGGACTCGAACCATGGTCGACTACATGGGAGTCCAGCGACATAGCCATTATGCTAAGTGCTAGTCCCTTAAGCATTACCCTTAATAACAAACACAAAGTCAGCATTTTGGGAAATAACATTGTTTGTTATGCCTAAAATGGTGTGTGATTTCAAAAAGAAAATCCAGTGTATGTAAACTATAAGGCACAAGTAGGCTTGGACCTAGAACTGTCTGGTCGCTTCCTGCCCTCCCGTGGGGAGTCGTCGCCTGCTGTCTTGGAGCCAGGTCCTTTCTGATATCCACTTCTTCCCCTACCCGGCCCCTCCCTGCAAACACTGTTCTCACACACCGTGAGTAATTTCTTGGCTCTGCTTGGTTCCTGCTTCTCCTTCCTGTTCCCTCTCCTTCCACCCTTCCTTCAACAGGCAGTTTTCCTCGGTCTGATAACTTCAAGAAGAGGTTAGAAGCTACTAATGCCATCTGATGTAGCTCTGGAATGTGGCTGTGGTCTGATGGGAAGACAAGGGACTGGCTGGGGGGCCAGCCACAAGCAGGCATGTTAAATACGCTTGGCTCCAAAAAAAGAAAAAAAAAAATACGCTTGGGACTCGAGATGCAGACTCGGCTGGGGGAAGAGGGCCAGTTATGAAAGGCGGCAGCGAGGCTGAGGGCAGGCCGAAGACAACCTCCCGCCCGGCTGTCTTCCCAGTTAAGTGCTGGCCCGGCAGAGCTCCCCCTTGGCACGCACAGGAAAGGGCTCTGGTGCACACAGGTCAGGCAGGAGTGTGCCAGAGTGGGCTTTTATGTGAGGTGGCCTTGGTGACTTTTAAGTAAAGGGTCAATCCAGGTGAACCTAAAGGCCCCCACCAGCATCTTTGAGGAAATGAGGCTATTTCAGGGGACCCTTTAAGTCAGAAGTTGACCTTCTGTTGAACTGCCAGCTCAGGAAAAACAAGCTGCAAGGCTGGGTTTGCTTAAGAGAGCAACATCAGTGTGTTTAGACGTGTGGGTTATTAATGGCCCTGGCTGTGCCGAATTTCATAGGAAGTTACTCTGGGTGAAGCTCGGGTCAATTTTCCTGTTTTTCTAATTGAATTTTTTTCCCTGGAAGTAGACCAGTAACTACATGGTGTGAGGACTCAACATGAGTTCTTTTAAAATATCAAATCAATAAATTACACAGCCCATTTCTCTCTGACCCAGAGGGCAGGGAGCCAGCCTTGGGAAGGAATGCTCAGAGGCCTCCCAAGAATGTAGCCACTGACCAGAGGATGGGGAAGGAGTGCGAGGGAGCTGTCAACTTGGGCCTCCCCTCCTCATTCTCATTCATCTGATTTGTTGTGTTGCCAACAAGGCCTGAGGGTGCCTTCTGCAGCCCCAATTACCAACACTATGCTTACTCTTTTCAAGGAAGAGACATAAACCTCACCCACTGTGAGACCAGGTAGCTAAGATGCCAGGGTGTGGGTGTTATGGTACACTCTGAGTCTCTAACATGTGCCCCTTCTCGTGTCGTCCTGGCAGTTACAAGATCTAAGCTCCCAGAAGCAGCAGTCCCACAGCATTCTGGATCTGCTTCAGACTCGGAATATCCGAATCGTCACCATCATGTCCATCATTCTATGGTGAGTGAGACTTAGCCTGAGGCGTCCAGTGAAAGTCTGTGGAAGTGGCCGTTCAGCCTCTCATTTACAGACATGCCTCAGACCGAAGTTGAAAGCCCGTGTCATTGGAAGTGAAAGGGATATGTCTTGGGATGGATGGAAAACATGGGCGTATCAGTTCTTAATGTGACAGAACCTTAGAAAAGGAGAATTAAGCTACTGTGCAAGCTGTTTGGGGAAGTCGAAGGTCTTCGGGGATCTTCCCAGGTCCTGTGGCAAATCCTTGCTCATGCTGGGCTTTTGGTTCCCATCGCCTACCTGCTCCTGCCTAGTCATGGACAGTGGATAAGGAGGACCAGAGTGGATTTTAAGAAGAATCTGAGTGAAGACACCGTGTCCTTTAGGCTGTAGAGGTTACAGAGTACTTTCTGCAAATGCGGGAGTAGGATCTACTCCTTCGGGTTGTTCAGAGACTGTCCTGGAGTCAGGGCAATGGCCTAGATGTCCTTGCCAGGTCTCCTCCAGGGAGGCATTCCACAAAGTGTGCCCAGAAGGGATTCGGGGGTTCCCAGGGAGAAGGTGCACATCCAAGTGCTCAGACAGCTTTCTCTCGGTGGTCAGAGGCTTGGGACTCTGGGACTCTGGCCTCGCAAGCCTGCCGGGCGAGGGGTGCTGAGACTGGTGGGAGGGCAGCCTCCATCCCAGGGCCCTCACTGCTAGACTCGGCCAGCGTTGGGAAGCCAGCCACCGTGCTCACCGGGGGATATTGTGAGTCACCCATTTCCAAGGAATGGCCCAGGATCCTTCAGGGCAGTACACCGCTCTGAGTCTGCCCCCAGACAGGACCATCACGGAGCCTGCACCTGCGATGACTCAGTCACACGACGGCACCTGGGCTCCCCTGGGCTCTGAATTTCCCAGGGACTCAGGCCTATGCTATTTTCCTTCGTTGTACCAGCTGTGTTTTGTACCTGCAGATGAGTCAAAGACAGGGTAATTCACAAAGATCTGGCTTGCTAGAGTGAGGGTCATCAGCAAAGAGGAGGGCTACTGGGGGCAAGGCCCAGGCCAGGGACATTTGGGGCACACAGATGAGAGGCGACGTGGCCCCCCTGCCAGGAGCTCCCCTTCTACTCCACAAGTACAGTGGGCTCAGGGTCAGCCCCCCTGACCACATCCTTGCAGCTGCTCAGTCTGCTGGGCATTTCTCCAAATGTGTGCCGTAACGTTGCCCTTTGTATTCCCCCTCCAGCCTTACCGCAGCTCACCTGATACCTGCCTCCTTACTCTCTCCCTAGCTCCTTCCACAATTGCTAGCCTCAGGAGGGTCAGTGAATAGGGAGGTGGTCTTCTGTAAGTACTGGCTTGTCAGCAAAGTCATGGTGCACTCTTGTACACAGGGTCTAGAAAAAATACGTCATGACCTCCCCGACAACCCAATACTACACCTTAGGATTTGTAAAGCCAGAAGGCAGGTTGGAATCCTTTTTCCGATGAAGTAATCTACCTGACTTATATAAGCCCTTTTGCCGGGACTCTGTCTGCGATGTGGCCTGGCTCAGAGTTTACGCTGTACCACTTGGGCTGGGGGGAGTTACCTTTGGCTTTGTGAAGTAAGACACCGGATTCTGTCTATTGCTGCCGCATCCCTGTTCTCTGCTTAAAGAACACCGTGGTTTGGAATTAACTGAACTAGTTGCATTTTTAAAGGCCTCACGGGTTGGGAGAGAGTGGATGCCGCTCCTCCAGCCTCCCTGTGTGCTCTGTTTCAGGATGACCATCTCAGTGGGCTATTTCGGGCTTTCCCTTGATACCCCTAACATGCATGGGAACACCTATGTGAACTGCTTCCTTTCGGCGGTGGTCGAAGTGCCAGCGTATGTGTCGGCCTGGCTGCTGCTGCAATACCTACCCCGGCGCTATTCCATGGCCACTGCCCTCTTCCTGGGTGGCAGCGTCCTTCTCTTTGTGCAGCTGGTGCCCCCAGGTAGGGATCATGCGCATCCACAATCTTGGGTCTTTGCGGAGTCACTCAGTCTCTCTCAGGCTGTCTCCTCAATTAAGAGAATAAAATGAAGCCCAACCCAGGTCCCCTGCACTTTGGCCTAAAAGTTAAGAGAAGGTGTCTCCTGAGGCCTGAGAACTCTCTGTGGCCTGGGCTTTGAGGGGAGTGTAAAGGAGCCACGGGCTAATTTTACTCCTCACCCAAGCTACTGTGTCTGTACTGTTTTCTTCTCCAGAATAAGGGGAAGAAAGCATCCAGCCTTTCTCCTGGTGGGCGCTGACTTGCTATGTAACACACAGCCGTGGAGTGGCTGCTCTAGGCTGGGCACTGTGCTTGGTGCTAATACAGAAATGAACAAGTCAGAACCCCAGCCCCTGAGCACAGACCAGTAAACAGACGCTCCATATGGCTCTGATGGGTGGCCTTCCTTAGAACAATGAAGGGCAGTGGGCAGCTAGTTACACAGCACGGTCATGGGCAGTGTCCATGAACAGGGGCACCTCAGCAGAAGCAAGCATGAAGCCATGGAGAAAGCCAGGAAAAAGTCAAGGACAGTTCCAGAGGAAACAGCCAAGGCCAGGAGCCTGAGCCGGGAATGAGCCTGGGAAGGGCCGGGTCACAGAGAGGGCCTGTGGGGCCAGGACAGCCACTGTTTTGTGTCCCACCGACAGGTAAGAGGCTGGTAGCTACTTCTGACAACTTGTAAAACTGATGGGCCCTCCGCCTCCGCTGCCCATCATGGTGCCCAGCGTTCTTGGCGTACCATAGATTTAGGAGCCTCTGGGAGTCACTTTGGGGTCCATCAGGCTGAGAAGACCGCACAGGAACAGCCCCCAGACTGGAGGTAGGAGCCCCAGGGGTGGACGTAGAGATCACCCCTGAGGTGGAGCAACTCGGGTCACTCACAGCATCTCCTCATTAGTGCGGTGAGGAGGAGAGCTGGAGGATCCTTGTAAGGTTCTATTTATCTGTGAACTTTCTGAGGTCTGAATAGGATGAAAGCATCAGATGAGTTAAAATCGAATGTCCCATTCATGTGAGTCTCCAGTTCATTCTGTAGTGCCTGCAGTGTGAGGTTCTGGGGCGACAGCTACCTCCTTGACACACACGTCTTCTAGACTGAAAAGCGAGTTGACTGGGCCATTGAAGAGCTCACCCTGGTGGTCTCTAGGCTGAGGAAGATGCTTGTCCTCACACAACTCAGTAATCCCCTTGGAGGGCAAGCTTGGCTGTAGCCCCTTACCCCCAATAGGAACTTATATGAACTGACCCTTCCCAAATAAGCAGAGGAGAAAGTATTTTCATTTCAGATCAAAAAGAAAAGGAACGGGCAAGAGCAGTGTCCCTTGGGTTGGTGCCTACCCCTACCTTCTTTCCTCTGCCTCTACAGAAATGTATTATTTGGCGACAGTCCTGGTGATGGTAGGCAAGTTTGGAGTCACCGCTGCCTTCTCCATGGTCTACGTGTACACAGCCGAGCTGTACCCCACGGTGGTCAGAAACATGGGCGTGGGGGTCAGCTCCACAGCGTCCCGCCTGGGCAGCATCTTGTCTCCCTATTTTGTCTACCTTGGTAAGTCCCATGGGCCAAGGACACACAGGAGCCATGGATGGAAGCACTAGCTGGCTTTACTGTGAGCCAGAAATAGCCTGTTAACGGGAAAGTGAGCTCGTGTGGTGAGCGGTGTCCATCCAGTTCTGAATCTGTAGCTGGGGAGGGTTCCTGTTCTGTGTACTATGGGGAAAAACAACCTGTGCCCCACCTAGAAATGGGGAGTAATAGAAAGTTCTGTTTGTTGTAGCCATCCCAGGCCCTTCTATCAGAGCATGCAGTTCCTTTTTCCGAAGAAACTAGAGTGGTTTAGGGGACCAGTGTGTGGAGTTGGAGAGAGTTCTCCTCAGATTCAGTGTTTAAGGAATGCAAGGGGAAAGATGCCCACTCAAGAGCTCCGTGAACTGAGAATGGTAACTTGGAGCACTTTCCCTAGTGGTGCGTGCTGTGGAGAGACCTCCCTTGTGCCGTTTATGTAGCAGGGCACCAGTCCTCTGTTCCTCAGAAGTCCTTATTCATGGCAGCCGTCCTAGCCAGATGTCCTGAGGGGGGCCCCGAGTGTTTGGTGAACACGCTGTACCCCTAACAGGCAGAAACGCCATCTTGTGTAGCCTGAAGGCAAATCAGACAGGTTGTGGCACAGCTGCAGAGCAGCAGCTGTCCCTGTCCCTGGCTGAGTACCTGGAGTTCCTTGGAAACCCAGCATTGGGAAACAGGCGTCATCATGATGGCTCAGCTCCCTCCCCTCCCCTGCCCTGCGGAGGCACCGGGCATGCCTGTGCCAGGTCTGGGTTCTGAGACCTGTCTGGGCTCCAGGTTCCAGTCTGGCGGCTCAAACAGAAATGCTGAGGCCAGGAAGGAAGGTGATCTCATCTGGGGACATGTCAGGATGGAGGGGGACCAAGTCTAACTGCAGCCCTGGTTTGGGGCTCCATCTGCTTTGCCACAGGGGCCTATGACCGCTTCCTGCCCTACATTCTCATGGGAAGTCTGACCATCCTGACAGCCATCCTCACCTTATTCCTTCCAGAGAGCTTCGGTACTCCTCTCCCAGACACCATTGACCAGATGCTAAGGGTCAAAGGGTAAGAAGGCCCCCTTTCTCACAGTGTTGCTGTACCAGGTCTGGGCCTGGTGAAGTCTTAGGGGTCCCTCACAGTAGAGCCCCCCCCCCCCCAAATTATCACAAACACCTTGGGCTAAATCAGCCATCAGAGTTATAAATGACAAGGTGCTTACTGACTGTCCTCTCTGGTCTGACCTGTGTGGACGGGACACCATGCACATCTCCATGGCAGCAGTGGCTCTGGGATGGTGCAGACTAGCAGAAGCCTCCCAGAATCTGCTGGGTGTTCTTTCCCCAGTGAATATATCCTCAGTTCTGGTTGGTTTGTTCGTTGACACTGGTAGACCTCTCTTTAGGCTTTGTTACTAACATGTGTTTTACTTGTTTTTATAGAATAAAACACAGGCAAACTCCAAGCCACACAAGGATTGCAAAAGATGGTGAAGAAAGCCCCACAATCCTTAAAAGTACAGCCTTTTAATACACCCTCCAGTAAGTAACTAAAGAGGAAAAACTGCATCTCTCGAGAAACGGCCTCGCAGACTCAGACCTTTGGTGACAACAGCCTTTGCTGTTTAGTCTTCTAACCCTGTGTCTGACGTGCTCATGGGTGGGCATCCAGACTCAGACTGCAAATGGCCCTCAGGTACCACCTTTCCTCCAGGGACACTGTGGCACACACCTACACACACTTTAGATGTGCCCTGTTACAGTGACGGACTGTGCACTTCCTAAGAATTACTCACTAGAACCAGTGCGATTTGGAAGAGTGAGAGGCATCTGCTAAATTTATATTTTAGACTACCCGTAAAGGCTTCCAATACTGGAGGTCTAAGTTTTCTCTCGACTATCCCTTCAATGGTGAACTGTAAAGGAAAATAATAATTTCACAGGGCATTTGATTTTTTTCACCTTTTCTCAGTTAGAAAGGAGGTGCTGTTTCCCCAGGACAGGAGAGCACAGGGTTAGGAAAAACGAAAGGTCATTAGCATGGAGGGGCTGAGCTGGTGCGGAACCTGGGCCAGCACATTGATCTGTGAGCTCTTGGACCGCTCAGTTCCCCTCCTGGGTAGACTTGTTTACATCCGAGCGAAGTACTGGGCTTGTCAAGGCCCATAGAAATGCCTTATTGAATCTACTGATCTCATTTTCCAGTGCTGTATAAATCAAACCTCCTCACCACTGTATCTTAATATGGTGTGAACGAAGTCTGTCCATGCGGAGGAGACAAGCAGCCTTGTCTCCGCTCTCAAAACTGTAATTTGGGTTTTGTTTTGTTTGTTTATTGTTGTTTGTCTCTTTCTCCTTAAGTTATTTGCCATTCAGAACGGACTTGGGAAAGGCTGGTTCCTTAGCTTCCTGGTTTGCATTGTTTTTTTTTTTTTAAACCCAGAATCACTCTGGCAATGGTCTGCAGTTGCTCCTCATGCAAGTCCTTGCCAACCTCAGCCATTAGCACTTCTCAGAGTGCAAACGTGATGTCATTTGTGTGTGTTCCTGTTGTGATACCTAATCACGGGGAGGATTATAAAAAAGAAACTGAAATCATGGTTGCAGGCTTTCAGAGCTGCTTTTAGTCACAGAGCGTTACTGGGAGGTATTCTGTGTTCAGCGTAATTGTCTTCTCTTTTCTGATTATGTTGTTGTGGTACTTCAAAGTACACATTTCACCTGGTTTCAAAAAACATTTTTGTGGAAGCTGCTGAAGTGCCTTGGGAAATGAGAAAGTCTGAGTAAATAAAATGATTTTTTAAATAATGGAAACTGTCTACAATCTCTTGTTTCTAGGCTTTTAAAAGCCCATGGCACACTGTCACCTGACTTTTCTGTGTGTGGGCTTGGGCAAATTCTGGTAATGGTTTAGGATTAGTCCGTAAGGCTAAAATGTAACCCTGTGTACTAGAAGTCTCCACTGTATTAGCTGACGACAGACTGCGCCACCTTCTCGCACTAATGTCTTAGCCTGGGTTTCCCTGAAAGCAGAGCCTGAGACCAGTGCTTCCGTGCAGTTAAGTAGTTTATTTGAGGACAGGATTCCCAAGGAGCAGGAATAAAGGACAGGGGACAAAAAGGGAAGAGACCAGCAGGTGGCATGGTAGTTAAGGTGCTGGACTCCCATAGGGCCAACCAAGTTCAAGTCCTGGACCTAGCGGCTTGCTTTATCACTTTCCCTTTCTCTCCCTCTCTCTGTCTCTTTCTGGTCAAATAGAAAAACAATAACAACAAATAAAATTAAATAATTGTTTTTTTAAAAAAGCGGGAGACCAATACTAAGATGCACTATCAGGCTGGCCAGTGCCAGAGGCTAAGATGTTCCATCTGGCCAGAACTACTTTTTTTTTTTTTTTTAAGAATCACTTTATTTAACTTTATTTGTTTTAATTTGACCAGAGAGGGACAGAGAGAGAGAGAAAGTGAGAAAGCAAGCCACCAGGTCTGGGACTCGAACCACACTCGGCCATGTGGGAGTCCAGAGCCACCACGCCACCTGCTGGCCCCCTGGCCAGAATGTCTAAGGAGGCCTACAAAATGCATCTCAAAACCCTGTGGGGCCCAGATGGTGGTGCACTGGTAAGATGCAGTGCTCTGTGATGCCGACCCACAGAGGAAGGTTCCTAGTGTGCGTCCAGAGACCTCCCTGAGTACACCAGGCGCAAGTGTGCCATGGTCCTGGGCTGGCTGAGGCTAGCAGTAGATTGCAGCACCAAGCCCTGTTGGGGGTGCTGCCTATCAGTCTTTCTACTCATGGAAGAAAGAAACTTTAATAAAACTTTATTTTAATCTGTACTATGGATAAAAGGGAGAAGCACTTATCTGTTGGCACCCACTGGTCAAAGGCAGCCCCGTAGGTGTCAGTTCCCCAGATTTCCAGGTTGCACACACATGTGTCCCAAACAGATTCTGTGCCAATTTCTCTAGTAAGACGTACACTCAGACCCAAAATAAGGCACTGCCAGGCTGCATCTCAGAAAACCAGCCAGACCCTGTGTGAATGGGTCACTGCAGCAGTGGCTGGAATGAACTGCAGGGGCTGAGAGGACAGGGCATCGGGTGTGGTGCCCAAGTGGTAAGGAGCTGGGTAAAACTCCAGGTGGACACGCAACTCGGGGATGTTTCGCAACAAATCCAGCAGTATTGAGCTCAGGTGGGAAGAAGGGCAGCGTGTCTTCTGGAAGCCTGTAGGCATCTCTACTCTCCTCACACCTGATTCTCTGCTGGGTTCTTGGTTAACTGACTTCACAGGAGCTCTGGAGTCTGAGTTACAGGCCTGCCTGCTCTTTCTCCTGCCGCAGGAATGAATGGATTCTGCGGGTTTTTTGTTTTGTTATTTGCAGTGTCACTGGTTCCAGGCATTTGTGGCCTTCTGAAGCCAAAAATTACAGTTACCTTAATATTTAGACCTGGGGGGTGGGGGGGCAATGACCTAAGCCACTGCTCCCGGGACAGAGCCATGTGTCTAAGTATCTAAGCCCTCTGTCCAAACCTGCTGGACCGCCTCAGAGCCATGACCTGGGAAAGACTGACCCAGGGTTTCCTTCTTTCAGAGACAGAGGAGTGAATAACCTGTAGTCACAGGGGCTGGTGAGTGATGAGGTACTCAGTTAATACTTGTAATAACTTATTCCAACACACCCATAAAATATGAAGGACAGAAAAACAGGTGGAGGAACAACTCAGTTAAAAAAAAAGTTCTCTGCCACAAATCAAATAATCTTATTCTTGACAAGTTCCTTTCTAGTTCCTATCTTCATCAGGGGTCCCTTCACACACTCATGAATTCCAGAAGGGCTGTTTGCTGAAGAGAACTACTCTGCCTAACACCCAGTCTGAGTGGTGGTGAGGGAGGTGAACAGAAGACCTGCTCTCTGTCAGGTGGTAAGGAGCCCAGCAAAACTTCCTCCTGGATATTTGTCTTTCACTGCTTTTCTTAAAGGGCTTTTAGAGTGAAAGAGGTTTGATGCAATAATACATTAATAATACCTTACATTGTCTGCCATTGCTATAAAAGTACTCCAGAAAAATACACTTGTTTTCTCATTTAAGCCTCATGAAAGTCCCATGAGACTATGGTAGAGGAAAACCGAGATGACACATTTGGAGGCTTCTGAGCCAAAATCATATGTCTTCCTGAAATTCTCAGGTAGATCCACCCCAGAAGGGGCCAAATCTTAAGAACAATGTTCATAATATAACAAAATATATATATGTGTGTCTGTGTGTACGTGTGTATGTTTGTACATATACATACACATACATATATACAGTCATTGTAGCTCATTATATTATGATAAAAGGGTCAATTCATCAAGACAGAACAATTAGAAACATGTAACAAATAACAGTCTCAAAATACATCAAACAACAACTGATAAAATTGAAAGGATGAATGCACAACAATAATAGTAGGAGACTTCAACCCGGATGAACCGGACAACTAGATAGAAGGTCAGCCTAGAAATAGAAGACTTGAACAATACCATAAACCAACGCGATCTGATAGACAGAAACTCACTGAACAACAGCAGAATATACATTCTTTTCAAGGGTACATGGAACATTCTCCAGATTAGACCAGACGTTGAGTGACAAAGTGTCAATACATCTTAAAAGTATGAAACCATACAAAGTTTCCTCTCTGAGCACAGTGAAATGAAAGTAGAAATCAGTCAAGGGAGCCCAGCACACCAGAACAGGCAGTAGGGGCACCCGGCATGCGGGAGGCCATATGGGAAGGCTCTGGATTTGCATCCAGGTCACCTCAACATACCTGGTGTGCCCATGGATCATGGCAGGCTGCAGGGCTGGGTGAGGATTGTGACATGATGACCATGTTGAGGTAAGTAAACTCTAAGAAAAAGGATAACAAGGCAATCTGAAAAATTCACAAATAGGTGGAAATTAGACAATACACTCTTTAACAACCAATGGGCTGAAGAGGAAAACAAGAGAAATTAGAAAATACTAAGATGGGGACCAGCAGTTAGTGTAATGGCTATGTCGCTGGACTCCCACGTAGTCGACTGTGGTTTGCGTCCCGGATCCGGTGGCTTAAAACTCACGCCGGACGCGTGTGTGTGCATGCCCAAGATCCCGAGAGGAGAATGGAGGAGAAGGGATTGTGGCGTGGCCCTCCCCCCTGGGGGGGGGGGGATTTCTTGCTTACTATCTCTCTTGTCTCTCTCTGTCTTTCTGGCGAGCGCATGTGCCCTATGGTAAAAACCTCTCCAAAAAAAGAAAAAAAAGAAAGAAAATACTAAGATGAATAAAAATGAAATCATAGCATACCAAAATTTAAGGGAGGGAGCCAGCAAAAGATGTGCTCATAGGGAAATGAGTAAAATTAAATTTAAAAATAATAATATAAGAAAGCCAAAAATCCAACCTTCCACCTTAAACTAAAAAATAACAGAGACCCTGTCTCTGAAAATAAATAAGATAAAACTTAGTAAATATCTAAACTAGGAAGAAGTAATGCTGTCATAATGAAAGCAGTGTGCCACATTAAGACAGACACATAAACCAATGACATAGAGAGCCCAGAAACACACCTTCACATAGTGAAATGATTTTCAAAAAAAAAAAAAAGGTGCCAAGACCCTTTTACTAGTGGCAAAAAGAGTCTTTTCAACAAATGATGCTGGGAAAACTGGCTAGTCATATGCAAAGGAATAAAGTTGGACCCCTGTTTTATACTATACACAAAAACTAAAAGTAGATCAAAGACCTAAATATAAAAGCTAAAACAATAAGATTTTGAAAGAAAACATAGAAGGAAAGCTTTATGACATTGGATTTGGAAATGATTTCTTGTTATAACACCAAAATCACAGGCAGCAAAAGAAAAAACGTGAAACTAGGTGTTGGTACCGTAGTAGCACACGTGACTGCACCTGTGGGAGGTTCTGGGTTTGTGTCCATCCAAGCCCCCCCTAAGCACCCTTGGCCTGTGCACCTGCCCAGGAGCTGGGCTCACTGACACTAGGCATGGATTGCGGTGTGAAGATCCTGTTAGAGGTGCCCCTCTCTCTTTTTGAAGAAACTAATGAATACATTTTCCTTTAAAGGGTATAAATAAATAGACAAACTAGATTTTATCAAAATTAAAAACTTCTGTGCACAAAACGCCACAATCAATATAGTGAAAAGGCAATCCATGGAATGGGAGAAATACTTGCAAATCATTTATCTGATAAGGTGTTAGTATCCAGAACACCTACAACTCAATAACAACAACAAAAGAACCTGATTTAAAAACTGGCAAAAGGTTTGAATAGACATTTTTCCAAAGAAAATATACAAATTGTCAATAAGCACATGAAAAGATGCTCAACATCACGAACCATTAGGAAAATGCAAATCAAAATGACAAAAGTAACGCTTCAATCAGGATAACCGTGATATTGAAAAGAAAGAATGAACGAGGGAAAACTCAGAAAACAGCAAGTGTTAGCAAGACAAAGATGTGGAAAAATGGAACTCTTGGGCTTTGCTGGTGGGAATGTAAGATGGTAGTCACAGCGGAACACAGTCTGGTATGTCCCCAACATGTTAAACACAGACTGGCCATACATACAGCAACCACACTTGAAGGGATCCAGAAGAATGGAAAACATGGGATCGGTGGGCTACTCAAGGGGCACCTATGTTCATGGGGCGTGGTTCGCAACAGACAAATGATGGGAGCCACCCCGTCCACTGACTGATGAAATGATAAACATCTGTATCTCTCTTCAGCCTTAACAAGGAATACGATGCTGACACACATGAACCTTGAAGCCATGCTAAGAGAAATAAGGGAACCACAAAAGGACAGATACTGTATGATTCACACAGAAGGATAAAGAGGAGACTCAGCAGAAGCACCCAGGGACTCAATCAGGATGCAGGTCTGACACCTGTGAAAGGGGGGGCGGGAAGAAAAGAGGCTCTGCTCTAACAAAACCTGGTCCAGAGGCCTCATTATAGAGGGTTATTGCCAGGCTCGGTTTGAGGCACCCTCCACAAAGACTGCGGTGCCTCCTCCGAGCTTCTAAATCAAGATAACACACTGCAGACCTGAAAACGGTCCTCCAATGATCTAACTGACCCTAAGAGAAGGTCTATTAAGCATCCAGATAAACTGACGTGGTCGCAGCCACAGCAACCCACCTGCAGACAGACAGAAAACAAAGGACTTTCTTCCTTATTTCATTTCATTCCCAAAGTCCCAAGATGGGTGTAAGTATTATCCTCAGGGAAAGAAACTAAAGCTAACTAGTTAAACATTTTATCCCGAATCACAGTCAATAAGAGACAGAGCCGGGGCTTGAACCCTCGGATCTCTACATCCTCGGTTATTGACTGTCATCACTTTGACCAGCGAGTCCAAACCTTAGGTTTGCTGTTGCAGTTTTTCTTATCGGATGAAGGGTCTCCCATTCCCCCGAGGTCGCAGTCTTTCGATTTTTCCGCTGGTCCAGAATGAGGCACCTCGTGGTCAGGGTCCCTGCACCGGGGGCCGAGATAGAGGCTTGTCGGATCTCTACATCCTCGGTTATTGACTGTCATCACTTTGACCAGCGAGTCCAAACCTTAGGTTTGCTGTTGCAGTTTTTCTTATCGGATGAAGGGTCTCCCATTCCCCCGAGGTCGCAGTCTTTCGATTTTTCCGCTGGTCCAGAATGAGGCACCTCGTGGTCAGGGTCCCTGCACCGGGGGCCGAGATAGAGGCTTGTCCCTGCGGCCCCGGCCAGCGCCCGCCCCCTCAGGCCCGAGCCC